GGCTGAGCGTGGTGCTGACGGCACCAAGTCAAGGGTTAAGATCCCCTTACCGGTCATCTTTTGAAAAAATAAAATAAAATAAAAAATAGAAAAATGTGTAAGTGTCTGTATGTGGTGGCATCAAACACACAGAGCTCACAGCAGGCATCTGCATCCTTCGACTCTGTGCTGCGCTAATCTGTCATTCTCAGTCAGTGCAAAGAAAGACTTCAGTTCTTAAAGAGTGCACATGTTTTACTAAAACCTAATTTTGAGGTATCTTTCCACTGTTGCGAGACAGTTGAGAAAAGAAAATTTGTCACCTTTAGATGTATTTTATGAATGTTTTCAGAGTAAAGACTATATTTATGCATGTGTGTATGTTTAAGGGAAACCTGTGGAACATCATTAGGGTTGACCAGCAGATCTTCCTTGGCCTATATGATCAGGCTTTAAACAGATGACTTTAGAGAAAGGGGGGAGATAATCACTTTCTGGGAGAGAGAGTATTAGGTGTGGCTCCAGGATTCCTGATCCTAACCCTATAGTTTTTTGGACTTGACGTGTGACCTCAGACTAGTCACTTAAATGTGCACTGGCTTTTTATACTAGACCAGAGCCCTACACTTTTCTCCCCCCAATTAAAGATAAATCATGTCTTTTAAGGTTACATTTGTTACAGGCCTTTTGCTTCCTAAATGATAGAACTTCATAAGCTCCAAATAAATATTACTGTTATTTTCGTATCTATCAACAGTGTCTTTGGCACACAATTTAAATAAAACTTCAAGTCAGTGGATTTCATAGTGTGGTCCCTAGATCCGCAGCATCATCATCACCTGGGAACTCGTTAGAAATGCAAATACTCCAGCCCCAGACCAATCCTACAGCAGACGCAAGTCCTGCAGGAACCCTGGCACACAGTTATATTTGAGAACTACTGCTTAAAGCCATATCTTTATACCATAAATACTTATTTTAAGGAAAGCATTGAAGAAGTTTATTTCTGCCTGGGATCTTGCTCTTTACTTCTACTCCGGTTGCTGCTGTTCTGTAACTACTAGATTACATTATTAGTGCTTCTTTTGGACCAGGTAGTAAGCTAAACACTTTTTATAGATTATATCATTTAATTCTTCCAATATCCCTATGAGGTCAGTACTATTATTATTTCTAGTTTACAGATGGTGATTCGAGATTAGTGAGAACTTGATAGGTAAAGTCACACTGCTAAGATTTAGATGAGCAAGAAGTTGAACCCAGGCATTGTCTCCAAACCTACAGCTGTAATTACGGCTTCCATGAACCAGATAAGAATGCAGATCAGGTGTTACTCCAAATATAATCCTACCTTGAAGAACAGATTTTGAAATGCTCCAGTGCTACTAAATTTTGGTTTTTAATCATTCAAATTGGTAATGCATGAAGTAAAGTCCCTTAACTTAGCAGCACATTTCACAAAATCAAAATGCAATTATGTAAGACAGGAAAACTAATTGACATGGCTTAAAATATCTATTCCCTCTGTTACTTATCTACACATTACAAAGTGTTAGAAATAGGGCAGAATTAAAACATGTCTAAATATGGGTAATTGTTGGCCCAGTTGTGAGACATTATTTTTGTCAATTCCCGTCAGGACTATAGGACTGACAAACTTAACACAAGTGCTTTGAAGATGGTATTAAGAAACTAATGACCATCAGTACATGTAGCAGTTAATTCCCTCTCAAATGCTCCCTGCTATGTAGACAGAGCCCAACTTATCTCCCAACCATCAAAAAAGGCTAATGGAAGCCAACTT